GGACCTCAGGTGCATATTTATGAAAGGTTAGGAACTTCAATTGGCACAGAATAAAAGTTAAGTTAAAGTCTGCAAAAAAATGAAAATGTTAGGGATCGTTGTTGCAATTTTCCCTTTTTTCCTGCCAATTTCAATGTAGTGTGATTTTGTTTGGTTTCAAATAAATGAATGGATTTTTCTATTCGTATACCGGGGTGTCAACGGCATACAAATCCCCTCACAAGAGGGGGAATGTCAATCCCGGTGTACATATAGCATGTTTCTAAACGAATCAAGAATTTCTCTATTTGATTCTACGCAATTAAATGCCAGAATCTACTTTTAGGGCGTAGTGCGTATGTTACGTCGTTATCAACTTTGGAAAGTGAAAATGGGTGCCTGCCTTGCGTGATTAATAAGGAAACATTTCTTCTTAGCAACGATTCTTATCAACAAATTAATTCGCGGATTAGGAATAAAGAATAAAAGAAACAGATATCTACAATTTCCCCTTTTGGGGGCCATGCTAAATGTATTAATGTTTATATAAGGGAGTACATAATGTTATATGAAACTATACAATTTGTTAATTTTAAACACAATCAATTTTTTCATCAAATTTTTTGCATTCACATCATTTTTAATTACATATTATGTACTATTCTTATATACAAATAGTAAAATCTTTTTTTCGCAATACTCTCACAAGGTGTGGAGTTGAAGCTTAAAGAGGGAACAACAATGCATTGCGAATTCTTTATGATTGCTAGCGTTGCAATTGCTTTATTAGCTCTCAATTGGTCTTTATTTTTCTTTGAATTCATTTTCAACTATATAACTTATGGGATTCATAAAATTTATCTTTTAATAATATATTCTATCAAATTTTATTAAGAACTACTAAAATCTGAATTTTTTATTCAAATCAAATAAGAGCTTTAATAAGTATAAGTATTTGTCTTAAGATTTTTAGAAAGAAGAGTTGGCAATGAAGGAGACTAGCACTATAAAGTAACTCTCTCTATCCCCCAGCTCCGTACTCTCTCTCTCTCTCTCTCTCACCTTTTTTGAGGATTGAGAAGTTGCGGTCGCTGCAGATGAACCATTGATGGTGTATTAGTCTTCATGTGGAATATTTTTAAGAAATTATGACATTTGTGTTGTGTAATTGCCTTAAAAGTCAAAAGTTGGAGGACTTCTATTGCAAATAATAAAATGTAGTTATTGTATGGAAGACTCCTAATTAAAGTCAAGAGCAAAATTCTTGCAGAATTTGGTCTCCAATTTACAGCTGGGTTTGAAGTCTTGTATATGAAGGAATCCTTGTTAAGTTAAAAGAGTCATATTTGAGTTTAAATTAAACTCTTCTATTTGGTTAATTATCCTATAAAATAGTGGATGTATTTCACTATTTTGGGTGTGGACAGAGAGTTTATTTGAAAAGAAAATATTGTGAGCCTAGTATCTTGAGATTTTTCGTACATTGAGTAGAAAAGTAGGTGTGGTAAAACTCGAGTTTATTTTTTCTTTGTAATACTTGAGGATTATGTTGGTAAGTGAAATTTTATATGATTGAAAAAAAATTTCATATAATGAAAATTTATGATGGCCAGTTTAATTTATGTGGTATATTCTTTATTTTTCCTTGTTTGCTAATGTTATCTTAAACAACAAAAGATCCTGTAGGTAAATGGAAATAAAGGGAATTAACGTTAAATTTCCCAACAAATGGTATCATGGAGCGTCATGTGGTGCTGAGTATTGAAGCAACAAAAAAAATATGTCGTCGTTGAAATATGATGTGAAGAAATTTGATGGGAAAATCAATTTTGGCTCGTGGCAAGAATAAGTTAGAGACTGATTGATTCAAGCTGAACAGTACAAGGTTTTGAAAGGAAAACCAACAAAAAGTTCTGGCAAGGAAGCTAAATTCAGTATGAGCGATAAAGATTGAGAATAATTGGATTTGAAGACTGCAAGTATGATACATCTCTGTCTGACTAAAAATGTTCTTGCAAATATTCGTGGAATATCTGTTGCAAAAGAATTATGGGAGAAGCTAGAAGATTTATATCAACTGAAGAGCCTCTAAAATCGGTTGTATTTGAAGGAGCAATTTCATTCATTGCACATGAAGGTAGGTACAAAAATCTCAGACCATCTAAGTGTTCTCAACGAGATTATTTCAGAACTGGAGGTACTGGAGTGAAGATAGATAGTGAGGATAAGGCACTACAACTCATTTGGTCCCTTCCGTCTACCTATGAATATATCAAGCCAATCTTGATGTATGGGAAGGAAACTCTGAGTTTCGCCGAAATGACAAGTAACTTGATCTCAAAAGAAATAAGATTAGAGGGATAGAATACTCCATCTGACAATGCGGTGCTTGTGACTAAAAAGGAAAGAAAGTAACTTGTTGAAATTGCGATCAGGTTGGCCACATGAAAGTGAAATTATCCAACAGGTGGAATAGTGTCGTTTAACTGCTTAGGGTCGGACAATGCATCTATCCTAGCGGAGGAGGACGAGGATGTGGTGTTGTAAAGTAAGATGAGAACATCCTCATAGCATGTTGTCAGTTGTTATGATAGAGGATGTATTCTTATTGGCACAGGTCAGCATATCTGCACATTGCATTGATTGACATTTGATGCGATGTGTGTAGATATGCTGTGGTGTTGTGATGTTGATGTCTAATGAGTTCTCTAAAAAAGTCAGTGGGAGAGTCGCACTATAACTATCAGTAGGGTTGTTTTGACATGGAGTCGATGAAATGTTCAGAGTTCGCGTATAATTCTGAGTGGTTATACTCATATGGTGGAGTATGAGACCGTTAAAGTGTGTTCCAAGTAGTGTGATTAAAAGTTGTAGAAGAGATGACAAGATTTGGACTCTTTTTGGGTAAGGTAGAGATTGTTGGGTAATTACCTCAAAAGTCAAAAGTTGAAGGACTTTTATTGCAAATAATAAAATATAGTTATTGTATGGAAGACTTCTAATTAAAGTTGAGAATATAATTCTTTCGAAATTTGGTCTCCAATTTACAGTTGACTTTGGAGTCTTGCACATGAAGAAATTCTTATTGAGTTAAAGGAGTCTTTTTTGAGTTTAAATTAGACTCTTCTACTTGGTTATTGATCCTATAAATAGTGGGTGTATTTTATTATTTTGAGTGTGGCCAGAGAGTTGATCTGAGAGGAAAATATTATGAACATAGCAACTTGAGACCTTTCCTACATTGGGTAAAAAGATAGGTGTGGTAAAACCCGAGTTTATTTTTTTCTTTGTAATTTTTGGGGATTGGGTTGTGAGTGAAATTTCATATGATTGTAATAATATTTCATACGGTTCATTTAATTTGTGCGTTATATTCTTTATTTTCTTATTTGCTAATATTCTATTGAATAACAAAAAATCATATGGGTAAATAGAAATAAAGGAAATTGCTGTAAAATTTCCTAAAAATTTGTACATCACTTTCTCTACATTATGGTAGACATCATCCATGTTGTCAATAATTGATTGGATGAAAAAATGATTTATTTTGAAACTGTCCAATGGTATAATGAAAAAATTGATTTATTTATTGATATGCATCGCGTGGATTGAACTCTAGTATACCAGAGTTGGTGAAGATATTCTCAAACTCGAGCTGATAGGAATATGTAACGAACTAATAAAGGTCGGAGCAGTAATGAAATTTTATTTAAAATAAATTAAAATTAGACGATTTGGATTAGATAAATTTAGTAAATTCTTTGATGAAAAATAAATTTAATCTCTACTATGGAGAGTTTGTAGAACGTAAAATTTATAAAAATAAACTTAAATACCCTTCTAATGACTTAAATTTTAGAAGAATTTACCTATTTGAAATCCATTTGTATTGTAGAATGTATTTTGGAATAGTAGATTGACGTAAAATGTGTGATTAGAGAATAAGAAAAAAAATTTAATTTGCGTGTAATATTATTTTATTGAAAAATATATGATTAAAAAGAAAAGACAGAAAAAAATATTTTGAAAATAATAGAGACGAAACAAAAGCTATACAGTATGAATATTTAAATTAATCAACCCATAATGTTCGTGACCATTAAATTATACAGTCACGTCGCTGTGAAATTCAATATGGAATGGAAACACAATCATTAGTCAAAGTGTACCCGAATCTCTGTCCCATATTCATGTCATTAATCACGTGAAACAATTATTTTATTATTATTTTTTATTATTATTTCTTTATGATGGGAATCCTGCCGTCGTTACCATTCAAGTGCGCATTGGATAAACTCTCGAACTAACGCAATAATCTGTAAATCATGCTAGTCAAATAAATCACACTAGGTAAGTTCGGTGTGACAAACTCGATCGAGAAGGTGTTGATCAGGGGAATTGAACTCGTAACCAAAGGTCTCCACGCTCATCTACTCCACCAATTCGATCGCCTATGAGGGCTCATGTGAAACAATTCTATTCCTTAATAGAATAATTTGATAATAAAATAAATTGACAGCATACTCTACTAATTCAGATTTCAGCGTCTAGTTAATCAAAATAAATTTCTAACTTTATTGAAAAATAAATCTATAAAATTCATTGTCACGTTAAGTCCTTGTTTGAGTCTCATTTTGGAGAAAAAAAATGTATTTTTGAATAGTGTATTAATGAAAAATGTGTGATTAAAAAATAAAGAAATTTTTTGAATTTACATATAATATTATTTTCTTGAATAATGTATAGTTGAAATGATGTCAAAATACTGTTTAAGAATACATTTTTTTTTCGGGGTTCAAACAAGGACTAAAAGGATTACTTATTTTCATGTTGGTAATACAATAGTTTTATATTAAGATCTATTTAAATAAATTTACTTATTTTTTTTACAAGTAAATCGATTAGTTTTAACATGTGACATTTTTATTATAAATAAATAATTTAATAAATTTATAAATTACTTTTTATACATAAATTTCAAATATTACGTCGCTGCACATGGACGCTGGGCCATTCTTTAAACGCATGCACAGCTGCTCTGCAATTTTTTAGCGGCTCAGACTAATTTCCACTTGGCGCGAATTCTATTCTATAGTAATGTAAAAGGAGGAAAATCAGACCTTTTTTTTTTATTGATTTCACAAATCTCATTTCAATTCAAAAATAAATTTTGCAGGAGCGAAATAAGCTGGTGATTTTTCTAGCTGAACTTATCATCTTCTCGTAAGTTTATTATAAAATTTTTCTATCGTTATTGATTTATTATTGATTATTTTTTGGTTGAAATTAGTTTAGCACGCACTCTTTAGTTTGATTTTAGATTAAACGAATTAAGAATTTCTATGTTTGATTCCATTTTTGAATGATAGTTAGTATTTTCTTTTAGCATGTGGTATTTAATTTTAATTTATCTATATCTCGCTGTCAATTTGGTGATCTAGGAAAGTGAAAATGGGTGCCTGCCTTGCCTCATTCAACAAATTAATGGCTGAGGTTGTGGACAACCACCATAATAATATTAATTCGAGGATTGAGAGTAAAGAATGTATAATAGTGGAAATTGACACTGCCCAGATCGTGAGTTCTTTATGATTTAATTGGTTTCTTAGACTAGTATATGAACTTCATATCTTCAGATTTGTCTCGAGGAAGAGTTGACGATGAAGAAAGACTATAAATTAATTTTCCATTACAGTTACATCTCCTTGAGGAGTATGTCACGATGGAGTTCCCAAACTCCCATCTCTCCCCAATCTATTGTTTTATATATAGTTGCTAAAAGTATCGTATATTCAATAAAACTTTTTATATGTTCTTGTTTTGCTACTGATATAATATCTTGTAAAGCAATTTATACTTATTCATACCTCAATCACTAACTTCATGCATAGGTGGGTGTGATTTTGTGAAGCCTCTGGCCGAGTTTTGCTTAAAACATGGGTTTCTTGAATCTCTTTGCTATTTCATCAATGCCTGTCCTCAAAGTGCTTTTAGTGAGTGGACTGGGGTCGTATCTTGCATTAGATCGTATTGACATTTTGGGAGAGGACGCGAGAAAGCATTTGAATAATGTAAGTTTCAAATTTGTATGCATCGATTGTACTTCTTTGTTTATTCTTCCAGTTTGTGTTTCTTTTATTTTGTGAACTCGTGATGCCAATATCAAAATATAAACGTACATAACTAGAGGCCTCATTAGATGCTTGCTCACAGTAGTCAATTAGGCAAAATAATACCATTAAACAACAGAAATTGATTGTCACAAACAAAAATTGCGCCATAGGAAAAAAGAAAGAGGAATTCTGCCCTTTGTGGATGTATTGAGGAAAATAAGCTGTCGCTAGCTTTGTAAACCAAAATTCTCTTATATCTCCACCCCAGCTCATCTAGCTCAGTCAAGATAAGATGACGATTCTTTGATGAGACGCACAAGCTTTTGGATTTGTTTCCCGTTTTCAGAATCATTGTATGTTCAGTCTACATTCTCGTTAAAAAAATATTAAGAATTGTATGCAATTACACCTACATGCATGCTTAGAGTAATTTTGTCCTTATTGTGATTTTGCTTAACTAAAAGGAAATATTATTCTGATTGACAATATTTATCTGGAAGCTTCTTAAAATTGAAAATTATTAGATATGCTTTGCGGGCATACTCTCAGTTACATGAATGTTTGTCCGTTAATATGCAGAACCTTGGGTCTGTATATAATTTAGTTATTGCATACCATGATATCTCAGAAAGCTTTCTGAAGTACTACTCTGGTTCCCATACTGAATCTATTTCTCCTGATTATTTAGGACTCTTGTGAAGCTCTTCAGATGGGCTAGTTGTCTAATGCTAAACTAACTAGATATTTTTTTATGAACAGATTGTGTTCTTTGTATTCAATCCTGCACTTGTCTCCAGCAATTTAGCCAAAACAATTACATACGAAAGCATGGTTCAGATGTAAACTTCTCTTCCTTCCTCTATTCATATAGTGTCTTTTCTTCTCACTTATCCTTCTTCCCCTCTTTTATATATATATAAATGTCGAGTGTGGCATGGGTAAACTTGCAGGTGGTTCATGCCATTTAATATCCTCATAACATTCATCATTGGTTCAGCTCTTGGTTGGGTGGTCATTCAAATTACAAGACCTCCTCCACACCTCCATGGACTTGTTATAGGTTGTTGTGCTGCTGGTATGTCTAACAGGAGAACTCACAACACTAAAAATAGAAACAGTAAAGGATAATGGAAGAGGCATATCTGGTAGAAAAGATCAAGAGCAGGAACTCTTTGTGTTTTCCTCATTCTATGTTCTTTGCTGAACTGAATTGTTTTAGAATTCATCTATTGGTGACTGCTCTTTATTTCAGAGTACTTCATTTAATTTCTTCAGGTGAAAGTTGAATCTTTCGTGGGAGATAAACACAAGGAAGAAAATAGTGGAAATGGAGAGAGACACTTATTATGTGTTCAAGAGAAAAAAACTGAATGCCATTAAATGGGCTTGCACTTCTCTCAAAATTTCGGTTTATTAATCAGATGATTGAAGTTCATCAAAAAGGGAAAGGAGGGAGAAAAATAAAATGAAATTAGATGTCTGGATTCATCATGAACCTGATATATAATATAATTTATGTGAACAGGCAACTTGGGGAACATGCTTCTCATCATAATCCCAGCGGTATGTAAAGAGAGAGGAAGTCCATTTGGAGATTCTGATGTTTGTTCTGAATATGGAATGGGATATGCTTCTCTGTCAATGGCAGTAAGTTTTAAATGATTTTTTCAGGTTCTAAAAAACTTTCGATGTTAATTGCTGATTGTATTTTACATAACTTATATTTCCTATGCTTGCTCGAGCATGAACACGCACATATGACTTCTTTACGATTCCTTAGCTGATTTTTAACTTCTAGTGTAAAAACACTATTGTTACTGATATTTCCTTATATTTTGATAAAACTCATAAAATGCCAAGTAAAACTTGATTTCTATAATAGAGAATATAATTCATGATCTCAGTATTTGAACTGAAGGAGGATTTAAGTTAATTAGGAAGAGATGTTGCCTTATCTATATATTTCATGAGTTTGTATCAATTTATATAAATTATTACTCGTCCTACTATTTTCTAGTTGACAGGATCCTAACATTTTATCTCATGTTAATTTTATGGTGTTTCAGATAGGAGCAATTTATTTATGGTCCTATGTCTATAATATCATAAGGATTTCTTCAAGTAGGAACTCAAAGGAAGTTGACATAAACGACCTTTCAATCACAAAGTCTTCAAGTGAAAGTTCCACGGTTCCATCTGATATCAGTTCCGCAGAAGTGACAGAACCTTTACTTTCCCCAAATCATTTGGCACTTCCACGAACTAGATTTGAGGAGAAGCCTCAGGTTGCTATCTCCTTTACTATTCACTTAAGACTATTACAACTGCACAACTTCAAGCTATGATTTTTTACTGCTTTGGTCATAAAAAATATTGGATAAACAGCAAATCTATGTAAGTATACAAAGGCATCCAGAAGGAAGCTCCTCAGAAGTACATGGCTTTGCTTATAATTTGTTGAATGAAAACAGTAACCATAGTTTTATCGACGTTTTCTTGTAATATCTGTAAGTATTATGCCCTAGGTCCAATCGACTTTGGACATAAATACTTTTATATATAATTAATGCAATTAAATGGCAGATCTATTATTTAATTAATAGACAATTAAATAAATAATAGAGTCCGTAGATTCAAATATTTGTAATTTATTAATCACAAGGAGTTGTGATTGTGAGATACAAATTACATCTGATTGAATCTTAAATCATCCGTGGTCGTAAGTAATAACGAGATACGGATATCGTTATTACGGATAGACCATCACGTGTGGCATTTCTTACTTGTGAAGTAAGTGGCTGATCTCACAAGTTAAAGTGTGGTGACACTTAAATGAACACGTGGATGTTTGTTATAGAACAAAACATTGGAGACCCGTCGAGAGATTCCACATGGATAACTATCTGAGTGTCGGTGGTTAATCTCTAACGTTAGGTAGTGAAATTGGTCCTTTGACTTGAGGTCGTCATGGTACCTTATATGAGGACAGTCATACTTTGGCGGTGTTGGATGTTGCTCTGAAAAGGGCCGCTAATACGACATCGTTCGGGTACGTCAAGAATCGTATGAAGGTTGTGATTGATCAATAAAGGATTCGTCACTCTTAGATAGTAGGAGATTATGATCTGCGTTTCATTCAATTAAGTCAATGATGAAATCCTTGGCCAAGGTGTACTCATAAGTCGAAAAGGAGTTTTCGATTTATATTGACTTAATAG